CTACGTGTCGTGATGTCTGTCCTGTCTCTAATTTGTTTTTCTCTCCTCTCTGGTGGTAAGACTTCTAATTCTCTCTCAGGAAGCATCTATTTCTCTCGCAATACTGCACCTCTCTGATCTGGGATTAGAGTGCGTTTTTGACCTGATCGTGCCATGATCATGAGTCTGTCTTGCTTGCTTGTTCTTTTTCAGATTGTCTTATGGCTTGACTTTCACCCTTTCTCTGCTTTCGATTGTCTGTACTCTCCTGTCGAGACCGCGCCCTCTGCTCCGTCGCTGCGCTCTGAGAGATCCGCTACCGGACTCTCGCTACTCTCTCACTCCTCCGTCCGGATCCTGCACTCCGTGCTCGAGTCTCGATCTCACTCTGCTCTTCTGACTGGCCTGCCTTTCAGCTCTCTGACTTCGTCAGTCTGCAATCCACTCGAGTCTGTCTTCTCGTGCTAGCTCGACAACTCTATCTATCTCTCCTCTCCTCTCTCTCTCTCTCTGACTACTCTCTGACTCTCTGCTCCTTCTCTCTCTCTCTCTCTCTCTCTCTCTCTCTCTCTCTCTTCTCTCTCTCTGTCTCTCTCACTCTCTCCTCTCCTCTCTCTCTCTCTCACTCTCTGTCTCTCTCTCTCTCTCTCTCTCTCTCTCTCTCTCTCTCTCTCTCTCTCTTCTCCTCTTCTCTCTACCTCTTCTCTCTCTCTCCCTCCCTCCCTCCCTCCTCCCTCCCTCCCTCTCCTCTCTGCTCTCTCTCTCTCTCTCTCTCTCTCTCTCTCTCTCTCTCCTCCCTCTCCCTCTCTCTCTCTCTCTCTCTCTCTCTCTCTCTCTCTCTCTCTCTCTCACTCTCTCTCTCTCTCTCTCTCTCTTTCTCTTCATCTTCTATCTATCTATCTATCTATCTATCTATCTATCTATCTATCTATCTATCTATCTCTCTCTCACTCACTCTCTCACTCTATCTCCATTTCTCTCTCTCTCTCTCTCTCTCTGCTCCTCTCTCTCTCATCTTCTCTCTCTCTCTCTCTCTCTCTCTCTCTCTCTCTCTCTCTCTTCTCTCTCTCTAAGTTCTGATGGATGAAAATACATTGTTTAATTAAGGGAAACGTTGCGCATTGAGTGTTTCTTTTGTCACGAGGAATCGTTGTTTACAATTTGGAATGAGCAGAACACGTGAATGATTTGTAAATAACAGGTAGGAGCATTTTTTGAATCTATTTCATTATTGAGTGTGTCATAGACATAATTGTGAATTCTGGTGAAGTCTAGAACCGTGATGTATTGCAATGTTGGGATATATCATGGAAATGTAATTGTCATTTCCTGGGATTTAATTCTAGATGTGTCATTATTGCAAGGAAAGATGTATTTATATTTTAACAGCATTGTATAATGTTCATTTTGTACAGCTGCTGATGACAGACCTGGAGAGGTTTGAATTTGAGTGGGAACTGCAGTATTGTATTGATAGCATCATTTAGGGGCAAGGAGCCATGATGTAAGTGAACCTGGTCATATATTGAAAACTGTGACTGTGGATTGATAAAGTAACTTTTCATTGAAGACAGTGTATAATTGATTATTGATGTGTGAAGGAAGTAATGATTATTGTTGTGAACAAATTCCCTGAGTTTTGGTTCATTAGTTATTTGATTATTTTTGTGCTCTCACTGATATGAAATTTACTGTGTTGATATCATTAATTAGTTGAAAATCATTGTTTACAGGTTGAACACACAGAAATTACACGGAAACTACATCTAAACATTATTCTACCTGATGGAGTATTTTGATCCCTGACTGATGAGTTGAGCTATACATACACACACGCACGCACGCACACACACACACACATTATACATATATATAATATATATATATATATATATATATATATATATATATATATATATTATATATATATATATATATATATATATATATACTATGAAAAACTGAGAAAACCAATGAATTTAACAAGCCATTATGCCTAGCATTTGTTGACTACGAAAAGGCTTTCGACTCGGTAGAACAAGAGGGTATTCTAAATTCACTACGTGAGCAAGGGATAAATGGACATATCATAAAACTTCTACATTTTTTTTTTTTTTTTTTTTTTTTTACGCAAATGGAACGGCAACCGTAAGACTGCAATATGATTCAGACAAAGTAAAGATAGCAAAGGGAGTGACACAAGGAGATCCAATATCACCTGTACTGTTTACAGCCTGTCTCGAAAGTATTTTCCGGAAAATCAATTGGGAAAGGAAGGGATTAGATACAAATGGTCAATACTTAAATAATCTAAGATTTGCAGATGGCATAATCCTGATGTCAGAAACTGCTGAAGAATTGCAGGATATGCTAAAAGACCTCAATAGGGAAAGTTTGAATGCAGGCCTTACAATGAACAGGTCTATAACAAAATTCATGTTTAACAGCAGGGTACAAAATACTAAAATTAAAATCGAAGATGAGATTCTTGAAGAAGTTAATGAATATAAATATCTAAGACAGTTACTGACGCTTGATAGAGATTATGAAAGCGAAATAAAGAGACGAATCACAATTGGATGGAAAACATTTGGGAAACATTGTCAAATCATGAAAAGCAATTTGCCAACATGACTGAAGCGAAAAAAATACAATCAGTGTGTACTCCCATCTATGACATACGGATGTGAAACATGGAAAACTAATGTCAACAGAAAATAACTAAGAAGAACAAGAGAGCAATGGAGCGGTTAATGATAGAGGTATCTCTTAGAGATAAGAAACGGTGTATTTGGATAAGAGACCAGACTAAAATAAAAGATATAATAGAACTGATTAAAGAGCAAAAGCGGAGATGGGCTGGACATTTATCTAGAAGGGAGGACGACCGGTGGAGCAAGAGACTAATCGATTGGTATCCAAGCGATGGAAAACGCAGTGAGAGACATCCAGACCCAAGGTGGAAAGATGAGATTGTAAAATATGCAGGAAACACATAG